CTGAGCAAGTAAAGAATGAACGTAACGTGAAAATCATGGATGACGAAAGCGTCAGAAAATATCATTTAAGTAAAGATGTTCGATGGGATGCAGAATCGAATAAGCCCCAAGACCAGTCCCAATTACAGGACTGGGGAAAGATCTATCTTCGTGTATTGTTCTACGTGGTTGCAATCGAAGGGGTAATTTTAACAACGTGCGCCCTCGTCTACGTAATAACAAAATTTATCGGATTCTGCCAACGGCGTCTGGAGATGTGGGTGTGCAATGTTACATCGGCACTCATCAATCGAGAAAAATTGAAGAGGTCACAACTTGAAAATATTTTCGACACGTACAAACCTCTCTTGATGAACGAAGACAAATTTCCCATTCGCAATAAAGATGACGATCGAGTAATTTACTTAACAAATGACAAGACAGAACAAGAATACGATAGCAAAGGAAAATTCGACAATAAAGTGGATACGAAAGATACTCCCACATCGGACTATCCTACCAACTCAAATGTTTATTCAGACAATGGGAAGAAAAAGGAAGTAGTCAAATCGAAAATGGTCAATTTACTATCCTCTTTAAAGAAACCATCGATACCGGATTTGAGACAATCTGAACGTTTATCTTTGTTCAGAAACAAGAAGAAATATAAATGTATTTCAACTTGTGATTACGAGAAGGAGTCCACAGACGAGTCACCATCGTCTTTCACCGATTGCTTTGAAGAGAATCTTGTGGATGAGTCGAATATGACAGACTCTTACCGGAATATGATGAAGCTAAAGCAGTCGATAAGAGCACGTACTAAAGACAGCGCGTCCTATATGGACGAACTTTACAAAGTTTTATTCAAGGAGAGCGTAATAGGAAGGCATTTGGATGAAACTTTAAGGAACGCGAAGTGTGACAAAAGTTCTGATAAATTTAGACTGGATACACTTCGAATTCCTGTGCGTAGATATTTACTTAAAGAGGAAGATGAAACAACTGAACCATTGCTGGAATCAAAGTCGGAAGATTTGCAGTTTGATTCCAGCAATGAATCTGTATGAAATATCGTTTAAAAATAAACAGTATTTTAAAAAGTTATCTAAAATTGTTTGGAATAATAGTGTGATTTTGTTTTTCGTCAATTCTGCACACATACTATTAAAATATGCGCAGTTATTTATATTAAAAATTTTTAAGTGATTGAATATATTCCTATTATTGTATAAATAGGAAAACATTGAAAATTAACGACATACGGAAAGACAATAAATACAAATACTTCATTTATTTTTTAATGTTTTACATCTTGATTTAAAATTTTAGGATTTCCCGGATTTTTTGGGCTGTAATTTGAAAAAATTGTAGACCTATAAATTTCCACTGTCGTCCATCCGTCGTTTGTCTGCCTGCCTGTATTTTCTTAATATCGAGAACGGAATTAGATAGATGAAAGACGAGGCCAAATACGGAAACCTTAGGGGCAAGAGGGTCCAATTAACTATGTACGAACTTCCGATATAAACCGGAAGTCACGTTATTTCAATTCAAAAGTTTTTCCCCCCCCGAAAGGTATTAGATAGATGACCGGCAGGACTATTGTTAAAGGAAAAATATGACGTACAGGGACAAGCCACTACTAATTTGAGGTGGAGAGCATATATTTTAAATTAAACAAATTATATGATTAAAAATTGCAGCCCGGCATTGTGACGATGTCAGAATAAATAATTGCTCTTTTTTTAAAGAAAATGTCAGTTACTCTATATTTTGAAAGATGAATGTGGATCGAATGCGATTATTTTTATTACGCACGAAGATAACGAACATAAAAGTCTATGATATGTTTTTTGATCCACTTGAATTCGAATATTGTATTATTATTATTAACATTTGTACTAAATAATGTTTCTTTACTGATAATCTAAATATATAAAATTAATTGTCCTGACTGACTGACTGAATGACTCACTCACTCACTCACTCACTCACTGATTCATCATCGCCCAGAGCAGACCGCTTAACCTAAAGAGGTGAAATTTGGTAGATAGTTGTGATACATCATGGGAACGCACACTAAGAAGGGATTTTTCGAAATTCCCCTCGGGGGGAAGAGGGAAAGCATTAACTCTTTCCTGACACAATTCTTCCGATTTCTTCTGATATTGTGGAGTTTTACTTTACTAACTGTTATATAACAGAGGGAAAGTGCGCCAATCGATTCAAAAATGATCTTACAAAATTTTTGGTTTGAGGGGACTTGAGACATTGAGAAATGTAAAAAAGTTGGGATTTTTTCTGTATGGATGAATGTTAATATGTGTAAGTGAAAAGCGTGATTTTTCGCCCATTCTGAAGCTTAATTTTTGTTGATTTTAATTTAAGGTACAGTACTTGTAAAAGGCCAACCCAGCCACAGTGTCTTTTTGGACACGATTGAAATGTCCAATTGAACCGATTGAAACCGATTGAAATGAGCACGGAATTTTTCATTACTTATTCTGTGACAGAACTGAATTTTAGTCTTTTAAATTGGGATACCTAAATAAGGGAGCGGCGAAATTTTCCTCCGCCCCGGGCGGCTGACACCCACGCTACGCCTGTGCATTTACAATTGTTTGTGAAACTCATTTCTAACTTCAAAATTAAGCTTTTTGCCATTTGATAATAATTAAAAATATAAACATTTTTTATAACAAAACTTCATAACAGACGGTGCCGCACGTAATTTTATTTATTATATTGTAATTAAAAATATAAAAGTTACTTTTTAAAAAAACTCGCATAACAATCTCGAATGATGTGGAAAGTTAGATTGACTGAAATAAGGTTCCTTATGTTACTTATTTTGTTAATAAGTTCTATTTATTCAATCGTCATATTAAGGTAAAGAAATGATACTTTTTGTTCGTTACTCATAAATTTATTAACTGCCTTTGGTAGTTTAATCTCGGCGTTTCTCATTGCTATTGTGAAATCCGCGATTTTTACGCTGTCAAAAAAATCTTTGTAAACAACTCCGATGGGAAAAAAAAACATTCTTGGTGAGAAGTATATCAGAGTCACCGATTGTTTTCACACTTTGGTGGGAAAGTTGACACTTGACTGATCGGAATGCACCGTAAGTGTCAACTGAAGTCCATCATGTGACTCATTTCCCACGAATAACGTATAAAAGCTCGAGTCCCCGAAAGCTCAGGGCGATCTCTCGGAAGTTATACTTGTCCATGGGAGCACCTCGTCTCCCGGACCTCCATACAACGGACTCGAACAGACGAAAGGAGAAGATATCGGTAGAAGACCTTAGGAACTTCCACATAGTACTTAATCGCCACTTTGAGGTAATTATTTGAGCCTGCGAACTCTCTCTCCCTAAGCATATTCTTAGTTTAACCTTTAGAGGAAGGATAAACCGTATACTCGCCATAAGCGACTTATGTTATCCGCAATTACTCTTAGTTGTATTTAACCGCATTTAACCTATATATTGTCATCGCCTTATGTATCCTGGCTTAGCCATTCAATAAATGTTTGTTATTTTGTTTAACCTGTCGTCTATCGTTGTACCTGCCAACTTACCTACGTACTCCCCACTCACTTTTTTTGCCCTCCTAAGCCATCCGACAACCGAGATCGGGTTTTATCAACCTGTTGCAGAGTAAACAGGTTGTTTTTAAGTGGTCATTTGGGGATTAGCCCAAGGGCCCACTGCTAATCTCACACTATGTTCTCCGCATTTTTTGCAATTTAGAATTGTTTTTGAGCAATACTAGCTTTATTTGTTATATCAAGTGTTAATCAACCATATAAATATAAATTAATAAAATTGAATAAAGTTTTTATCTTGAAAAATAAACAAACAGCGCTTAAAAGTAACCGTTCGCATTCCTTTTTATTCTGTAGACTTTAAACGAGTACGCAAAATACTTTCTTCTTCTTCGGATTTCGGATTTTTCTAATAATGCAATTGAAAGAAGCTGCCAATGTAGTTATTTGAAAGTATGATCTTGTTTCTTTATTTAAAAATTTTTTTCAGTCAATCAATAAAAGAGGCTAATATAGCATAATTAATATTTTGAGTTTATATATGTGTAATACATAAATTTTTCTGGAGAATTTTTAAAACTGCTTTGTGGACTCTAACAATCCTTTCTAGTCGTGCGTTCGGGTAGGTCCGCAATGAGCAATGGGGTGGCCAGCTTAAGAGAAAGGTCTGAGGTGTATGGACCCACATTATTTATGAACATTTTTTCATGATCCAATGAAGTACTCTGATTCGGATTGGATCATGAAAAATGTTCATAAATAATGTGGGTCCATACACCTCAGACCTTTCTCTTAAGCTGGCCGTGCTTTGAGTGCTTTCTTTTTCGACCACCCTGCAATCCCTCAGAAAAAATTTAACTGCATAGATGCAATGGTTTCAAACTTTACTATTATTATTGAGTTGCAATTTTCAAACTTGAGGGGTCGAATGTCCCGATTAGCTACATACGGATTCCCGGTATAGACCGGAAATCACATGATTTCAATTCAAAATTTTCTTGAGTATTGAGTTGGATAGATGATCGGCACGACTCAATTGTTATCAGGAGAAGTGTGATATACAGGTGCAAGACATCACTATTCAGACCAGGTATGGAATGCTTAGAGGCATTCAATACCTGGATTAACGGAATTTCGGTCTAGACCGGAAATTATGTGAATTTTATAAATTAAATCATGATTAAAAATTATAGTCCCGCATTGTGACGATTTCACAATAAATAATTGCTCGTTATTATTTGATTTGTTGCCTGCTACATCCAAATGAATCTATTTTTAAAACAATGGGCTTAAATTAATTTTTGTGTTTTTATAATTTTTATGAAATATTTTTATTATTTTTATATTATACTTTAAAATATTACATGAGTAACGTATTTAAACAAATAATAATAATGATAAAGATAATATTATTAAATCAAATTTTGTGCTATTTGTCTAAAATTTAATATTAATTTAATTTACATGCTAGACATTAAAATTTGAACATTTTTTAAAGATGTTTACATCCAGGGAATATGAATATTTGCTTTTTATTTAGCAGCCTGGCCTCCGTCAATAGGAAGAATTACTCCATTAATCATTCTTGCCTTATCACTCAGTAGAAACAGCACAGCATTGGCTATATCCTCGGTGTCTGAAAAAAGGAATTTTTAATACATAATTTTATATAAATTACATACAGCAATTAGGTATATTATATATGTAGTTAACCCTTGTATAAAGCGGTATACTGTACTGTACTTATGCAACGCGATTTCGATATAAGATGAAATTGTGCAATTTCCCTCACATAGTGCAAGCCTTTCTCTGTAATAATGAAAGCTTTTTATCTTTCATGGCAATCTTTTTAGAAAAATTATTAATAATAATAACCGAAGTCTGTTTGTTTGTTGATTTGTTTGTTGACTTTTTCCCACAGATGCCTCTACTGTATTATTTATCATCTAGGAGAATGCCTAAGCAAAGCAACACTGATAAAGTAATTTCCACATTTAAAAAAATAAGTGCAACTGACATCATTGAAGACCGTGATGCCAGACTTAGCTAGAGTGTGGGATAAATACATTTCACACTTTTCCCCGTGTTAGGTAACATGTTAACAAGGGGTCTCAGATGACCTGACTGGGACAAAAGGCTACACCATTTCCGTCAAGGGGTCTCAGATGAGCTCACTGGAACAAAAGGTCTCAGATGACCTCACTGGAACAAGGGGTCTCAGATGACCTCACTGGAACAAAAGGCTACACCAGTTTCCGTCAAGTATGACATAGTTCCCAGTCATACTTGACGGAAACTACAACGTTATACGAGGTTATCTCCCATTATTTCTATAGTTACGGTGACCATACGTCCTTTATTTAAGAGGATATTCCTTTATTATTCTGTCCTTTAAATATATATATATATATTTTTAAATGGCCATTTTATCCTTTATTTTGTGAATTTAAATGTTAAATCGAATGATGGCGCTCGCACACAGCACTAATATTCAATTTACCTAATTTATTTTTACGCAATTTATAAATTTTATCAATACTGCATTGATTATTTAAATAGCTGTGGCAACCTTATTCTAAGGTTTTTCCTACTGCACAAATATCAGTTTTGTTTTGGCCAAGCTGATAAATCCTAGCGTTAATAACCTGTTCTAAAAGAAATAAATGGAAAATAAGGACAATAACACAAATCTTATATCTTTATAATTATTAATTCTCTTCAATTACTTTTCAATATTAATCGTTAGACATACGCAGTGTGCACTGTGTGACTTCATGTGATATAATTTACTATATGATAAGTGCGCTGTGGTTGTGGATTAAATTATAGTTTAAATGATAATACAGCAGTACCTCATACTTCGAACGACTCTAACTCCAAACGCTACAGAGTTCGAACCCAAAATTCGACAAAAGTTCGCCTCGAAGTTCGAATTGCGTGCGCAATAAAAAATGTTCTCTAATATATAAACATAAATGTAAATACTCTATAATAAATGCATAAATGTAAATACATAAATGTAAATACTCTATAATGTAACATAAATGTAAGTACTCTACAATATAAATGTAAGTACTCTACAACATAAATGTAAATACTCTATAATAAATGTAAACATAACTGCAATCACACAGTGATTGCAGTTATGTTTACATTTATTATAGAGCAGGAGTGGCCAACAAGTCGATCGCAAAACCAATTTTGGTCGATCGCTCGCGATGTCTTGACTTAACGTGTTACACTTGTAAGTTGTAACCGAACGCAACGCGTGAACGTAACGCGCAAACGCAACTGTAGTGATATCGGACCTCCTCTTTCTCCCTCAGATGTGGTTTTGTCTGTCCATGTGCAATCCATTTGCGTACAGTTGTAAAAGGGGAATAAGAAATGTAGACAAAGGGTCGTAAAACCGAAAAAAAAGAAGGGACAGAGAGAGGAAGGTGAAGTGGTGGTCCCCGAAAGTGACAACGTTGAGTTTCAATTTTTCTTCTGTTTAAAATATAAGTATTTTTTCTTCGTGTTTTAAATTAAATTGTGGCTTTTCTTATCTATCTAAACATAGTATGTATTTTACACCTCCCTCCCCCTAGCCACTTAAACCAGGGATGGGCAGCCTTTTTCTGTGTAAGGGCCGCATTTCAAAACTTTTGAACTGACGAGGGCCGCATACAAGATAAAAGAGGGGGGGAAATGCCGGTAAATCACAATTATTCATTCATATATAATTATAAATTATAATAGGTATACTTAATTTAGTTTCTAGAACTGATGTAAACGTAATGTGTCGAAAATATTTGATTAAATATTAGTCACTGCTAGTTTTAAAATAGTTTCGAGGTGAGTCTGTTAGCCGGTTTCTCGTTTTAATTTTTACTAAATTCGTTGCAGGAAAAACTATTTACATACTAAGTTGTAGGAAATAACGTTTGAATTTTTGCTGCATACTTCTTAAGCTAGGAAATTGATATATTTATACACATTTTATGCAACTCGGGCCTTGGGATGCCCATCCCTGACTTAAACTATGCCTACGACAACGAATCGATCGCGATACATTTTTAAGATAAAAAGTAGATCTTATGTACACAAAAGTTGGCCACCCCTGTTATAGAGTATTTACGTACAGTATTCTATTAATATTTTAATTTATTATTAAGGCATTTAATTGTGTTATTTTTACGTTATGTTTATTTGCTGTTTTAAGTTTATAGAAATGCGTATTGTTCAGGATCTGGAAATGGATTAATTCACTTTCCATTATTTCTAATGGGAAAATTTGATTCGGATTTTGAACGATTCGGAGTTTGAACGATCTCCTGGAATGAATTAAATTCGAAGTACGAGGCACCACTGTATTGATATTGTGACTTCATAAAAAATATCTATTGTACAGTATATTCAATACAAATGGTAAATTCTACCAACATTCATTCCCTGCCTCGTTTTTCGTGTGCCGAATGAGTGTAAACCGGAATTACACGGTATTGAATATTTATTTCCGGTTTAGCATGTTTCCGTTTTGAAGATTTTTTTAAATGTTGAAAATCGCTCAGTTTCGAAGATTTTTTTCCATTTAGGCTGGTTTCCTTTTTATTCAGATTCCGGTTTGAACAGGACACTGTTTAATTTAGGTAAATATTTTAACTTTAACATAACCAGAAGAAAAATACTTATAAGATCCAGAATTGGACAGTTAATTACTGTACAAATATGGGATTCCCACTGCACAATTCAAAATTCCCATCGCACATTTTGTATCAGTTGCACGTTAGAATATGCGCTAGTGTAGTACTTGTATTATTATGTTTAAACATTGTTTTGAGAAAAATTATTCAAAAATATTAATTAATTTGTATTTTTATGTAAGTAATACAAACGTTTAAAAATAAAAAAAACTTTCTGAAAATTTTTACAATAAAATTCGTTTTTATAAAATTATTTTACTTACTACAAAATTCACCCACAGGTATCATTGCTTTTAGTTGAGCTTCTAGTTCAGGATGCTCGAAAACTACTTTTGTCATATCCGTATTTACAACAGTAGGATTGACGCTATTTACGCGAATCTGAGAAAGAACAAACAAAAACACAAATAATAAAAAAATTAACTGTAAATTGTACTTTACAAAGCTTATTCTCACCTTATAAGGTCCTAATTCAACGGCCATTGTTTTAGTAATTTTATCTAATGCAGTTTTCACTGAAGCATAACTAATGTTGAACATATATACCAATGAAGCTACACTGGATACATTAACAATAGAACCCGGTTTTTTCTCATCTTTTAATCTTTTTGTAATAATCTAAAATTCGAAAAAGTTTTTGTATAAAATGAAAATCGTCATTTTGCACATTTATGGTTAATAATGTATAATATTTTTTATCGTACAGTTTATTGACAAACAAAATTACAAGTAACGCCATCAGTAGCAGATGTGACTATTATTATTAGCTATTACTGTATTAGCACCGCCTCGCACGTGGGAATATCAAAAGATCAGCCTAATCTTCGATTTTAAAATCAACAAACACGTTTATAACTAATACAATGAATAAGAAAAAATTATAAAAGTGATTAATTTCTCTTTAAAATTCTAACATTGTACCGCCTTTCTTAAAAATTATCCCCGACAGGTAATGTTTGAGTTATCTGAGCGCTAGGAAAGTCCCTAATTACAAGATTAGTAATCAACACATACAGACAACCAATAAACTGTAAACATGTAAAAGCAGATACGAAATATCCAATTGTCTTTGTAGCTGGGTAACCTAATTGTTCCTTCTTCTCAAGTCTATTTCTACAGTTTTTTAAAATTCTCTCTGCCCCGTGAGATATACGATGGCCTTTTTTCAGACTCATCAAGCTTAATAGTGAGTGACAAAGAAAGAATCACAACAAGAAAAATTTCTGTCAAATGAGTAGACATTCTATTGAATATATAGGCCTAAATGGTACAATATACCAATAATGAGCAACCTTTTCGGAATCGGGCCGCACGCATCCATTGTTTAATTACGGAGTTGTAGGCTTTAATCCTATTGACTACTAAAATACTCTGTAAAGTCTACTAAACTAGGTACTAAAATATTATATGTTTATAATATGCAAATTAGCAAAATATAGTTTTTTCTTGCGGCATTAAAAGTGCCGCAAAAAAACAAACTATATTTTGAAATGCTATTTATTTATTAGTAACATGTATGCAAGCAAAACCACAAACTTTTAAAGAAAATTTAAATTATTTTTTAAAAGTAATTAATAGGGACTTTTTAGTCCTATAAGATTTCTTTGTCATACTGATATGTTATAAAACACAAAAAATTAAAAAATTCTTTTGTAACACAATATTGCATTGCACATATCACACTTTTACTTTTCCGCCTGCTATATATATAATAGACGGAAAGTATGGCAATCGCCCTTTTGGACTCGGAACTTTGGAACATCGAGAAATCAAAAAATTCAGGGATTTTTCTATGTGTATGGATGTCAGTGGGTAGGAAGGTCACAATTTTGTTCATCCACTTTGAAGCTTAATAAATCCTGTGCTTTTTTTTGGAAATTTCTGAAATTTTTTCTGGGATGTTTGTATATTAGGGGAGTGATGATAGTAAATTTTGATGGTTAATTAAAGGTTGAGGGGTGGAGAGATAGAGGAAAATCACTTGTCATATCTCGAGTGGAGTCAGACTTAATAAAGATTTTATTCGTTATTAATTAACATTTACAATCTTTTATAAAACTCATCTTTATCCTCAAAGTTGAGGTTTTTGCCATTTTATAATAATTAATAATATAAAAGTTATTTTTTGAAAAATCTCATAACAGATGGCACTACAGACAATTTAAATTTTGTGCTTACATCTTAATGTTTTTCGCAGGGAAGATTATGCAACTCGTTTCTGGATTCTTAGATTAGACTTTTCTAGTTAGACTATTAATTTTTGAGTTTCATCTCTTTTAAATTGTAAAAAAAAAAATTATAGTTTTCCGTTTTTAATCTCACAATATATGCGTTTCGGTAACTATTTCGTACATTGACAGAACAGTTGATCAGTTGATGCTTCCACTCTGAATGAAGCCATTTTTACACATCCGAACAAAAAAAAATTGTCACCAATCAGACCTAACATGATAGTTAAGTTTCGAAAAAATAAACGTTCAGTAAAAATGTCACTTCAAAAATTATTTAACATGCCAAAAGTTTAGTTATATATTTCGATAGTTAAGTGAGAAAAATACCAATCAAAATAAAAATATCTTCACTTACTTACGAATGAAAGATCCAACTAAAGTGTAAAAACTTTTGAGCAGGCCGCAATTTACATAGTACCGAAATAAACTAAGAAAAATCTAAATTATATATCCTCCAGCCACCTGCTTAGAAAATAAATAACTTAGCATAGTCCTTACTAGTCCCAACAGGTTCCAAAATCACAAACATTATAGAAGTGTTTCTACAATCAGATAAAGAATTTAATACTTGCACCAGACCTGAAAGGAATAGTTCCTTCTCATATTTTTAGTATCAAGTTTAATTTAAATGCTGTTCGTTACGAATATCATGTTAATTTTGGTTGCATAATAGCACGAGACAAAAAATAGGAAAATAAAATTACGTTGCCAAAGCCCCACGATCAATAGGCAAGCAGCGGAATGCTCGCGATTGCAAAGAACAATTTGCAATATTAATTCATTATAAATATCTATTTTTAATCTAAACTTTACATCTTGAAAATATTAACTTTATAGCCAAATCTTGATGTTAAAACTTCAATCTAAATGTGATGCCGCAGTCAAGATTATAAAATGACTTTTGAAATTTAATTTTTTACAATTCTTTGAACTTCTTTAGAAATGTTCTTACCTGCGATACGTTGATAGCAGATTTCAGATTGGTGGCAACTAATCTGTAAATATATTAGAAAATTAATAAACTGTTCTTTCCGAATAATTATGTTTTCCTATGAAGAATTAAAATACAATAAATTATATTTCATTGAATAATAAAATCTAATTTATTGTATTTTAATTGAATAATAATTATTAATTATTTCAAATAATAATAATTAAATGATAAATATAAAATTATTATCATTAAATCACTTTGAATTATAATTGTAAATTAATATCATTTCAATTAGATAAAAATATAAATTAATGATTTTAATTTATTTTATCATTATAAATAAACGTATTCGGTTTTATTATATTGAATGTAATGGTGGTTGATTTCTTGTATATGAGGCGCGCCATTTCAAAATGTGTCTTAATTCCGATGCCCTCGGGCACTAAAACTAACGAGTTAGCGTCAAGATTCGATTTCGTCAGCTTCGTTCGAATCATAAGGGATTCAAACTGGAGTGTGACAGCGCTATATATTTGACCGTGGTCCGTATATTCCAGTAGTCATGCGAAAAAAGTTACCAATGACAATTCTGCCTGAACTACAGTTGACAATAGCTCCACCACGCTAAGAGAAAGCCTGGTACACTAGCAAATTTTTAAGTCTAAATAATATTTTACTAACAACACTTATGCATATTTGTTTCGTTTCTGGATGCAAGTCGGGATATAGGGGAGACCGGGGCAACTTCGGCATGCGGGGCAAGTTTGTCAAGCGCTTTTTTTTAAAAACAAATTAAAAGGAGACTTTGGTTATAGGTTAGGCAGTTGAGTTTTATTGGTGGCTTGTTGAGTGTAGTGTTTTTATTGTTCTCCAACAAGCGTAGTTGAATTATCAAGCAAATTTTCATTTTCGTTCAATTCCATATAATAT